TAGTTTCCTTCTTTCTGGTGCTCTACTCCACAGATTTTAGCTGCTTCGACAACCTCAAATTTGATTTCTGAATATTTTACACACAAAATCTCTTTAGTCTGGTCAGGCTCTGGTTTCCTGCCATAGTTGAGAACTTTTTCGCTGATGGAGAGTCAGTACTAGTGTGGGAGCTGAGGTCATCTTATGTGTGTCCCTTCTTTCAGAGATTGCTGTATCATGTTATATCATGTCTGAAAACAGTTGTTTCATGTATTTTTCCAGCTTTATAATTCTTTACAATGGGACTAGTCTCTTAACAGTTACTCTAACATGGATGAGCCAGAAGTAGAGATATTGCTTTTTTTATAAAATACTTTTTCTTTTAGAGACAGTCACATATTTGTTCCTTATTTCATTAATGTGATTATTTGGATTAATGAATTTTAAATGTTAAACTGGGCTTGCAGTTTTGTAATAATGCCAACTTTTCATGATCTGTCATCTCTTATTATACATGATTGGATTCAATTAGCTAGGATTTTGTTTAGTATTTTACATCTAGGTTTAGGAAAAAGATTCACCTATATGTTTCTTTTTTAATAATATTGTCATGTTTTGGTGTCAGTGTTATCCTGGCTTCATAAAATGAGTTGGGCAGTGTTTCTTTTTGTTCCCCCTTGCTTAAAGTTTGTTTTGAGAATGGCTATCTTTATTATAAGTTTCTAAGAGTTAGAGTAGAACCATTTTTTTTTTTTTGTGGGAAAGTTTTACATTAGGGATATGGTCCTTCTACTCATTATTGAATAATTCACATTCTATATTGCTGCCAATAGTAGTTTTAGCAAATTATGTTTTTATAAGAAATTGTACATTTCATCTATTATTCAAATATTATTGGCATAAATAGTTCACTATATTCATTACTCTTTTTTTGCTTATTTAATGTATAACGGATTTGTTATGCTACTGTCTTTTAGTCCTTTATATCAATAATATGTGTTTTCTTTCTCTTCATTTTTTCTGGATGAGATTTGCCTAGAGTGTTAGTATTAAAAGCCTTTTTGAAGAGCCAGCTTTTCACACTTTAAATTTTCTATAGAGTACATTTAAAAATTTCTATAATTTTAGAGTATACAGCCATGCCACGCTGAACATGCCCAATCTTGTCTGATCTTGGAAGCTAAGCAGGGTCGGACCTGGTTAGTACTTGGATGGGAGACTACCTAGGAACATCAGGTGCTGTAGGCATTAAAAAAAAAAGAAAAGAAAATTTCTATGATTTTATCCTCTTTTCTTTATTATTTCCTTCTACTTTTTGTTTGAAAGTGTTGCTCATTTTTTTTAGCTTCTTAAAATAGGTTAGATAATTAATTTTCAGCTATAGGTATAAATCAATGAAAATCATTTACATCTATGTGTATGTATGCATATATATATGAATTTCCATTTTAGAATGAATTTAGTTAAATCTCACACATTTTGATTGTCATATGTTAATTATAATTCAGTTTAAAATACTATTACTATGATAAGAGAACATATATGGTGTAGTACAAATTTCTTTGAAATTTGTTGAGATGCTTTATGGGCAAGCATATGATCAATTTTAGTAAATGTGCCATGTGCAGTTGAAAAGAATATATATTCTACAGTTCTATAAATGTCAAGTGTCCTATAATTAGAACTAGGTATCCTTATTAATCATGTTTTCAAATTGTCTCAATCCTTTCTGAATATTTTCTTGTTTTTTTTTTATCAATTAGTGGTATTGGTATATTAAAATTTCTCACCATAATTCTAAGTTTGTCTCTCTTCTTGTCAGATTTTACTTATATATTTTGAAGATCTATTATTAGATGTATATACTTTTAAGATTTTGATATCTTCTTGATGAAGTTACCTTTTTTCATGATGAAATATCCTTGTTCATTTCTAGTAATATTTCTTGATTTAAAGCCTACCTTGTCTGATATAAATACAACTACATTAGCTTTCTTTTTGATAGTGCTTTTCTGTTATAACTTGTACATTTATTTTCAGTTTTTATGTGCTCTTAAACATAAAGCTGTCTCTATAAGCAATATATAGTTAAGTTTTTTATCCAGAACCATTTGTAATATTTAGCCCATTTATAGTTAACAGAAATAAATTACTGATATATTTGTGTTTAAAATCTACATTTTATTTTTTGTTTTGTATTGTCTTATATTTTAGATTCCTATTTGCTTTCCTTTATTGCCTTTTATATAAATAGAATGGAACCAGATGATATAGGGGCATGTCAGCTTATTTTCAAATAGCTGTTTCCAAAAGACCATAAATTGGCACTTTGTTGAAATACTACAGGTAATATGAAGACAGCATTCTTTATACATGCAAACAGAGAGGATACTCCTCATAGGAATGGTGAGGAAGGTCGACAGAATAGTCACAGAAGAACAAAGGCCAGATGCTTAATATTATGTGAGACTATAAACTTAGTGATAACAAAAACCATATGTTTGATTTACTATCTGTTCTTTTTACAACACATAGCACGGTACTTTTTGAATGAATAACTGATTGAATGACTGAATAAGTGAATTGGCTGTAGCTGTCGTATATTCCAAAAAATAACACAATAGAGTCAGAAGTCTTTATTTCAATGTCTCACCCTTGTGCATTAAAGTATGAACTTAAGCAAGCACTAAACATTTATGAGTCTCAGTTTACTCACCATGGGGTCATGATGAAGCTTTAATAATATAAAGGATGTCATTTTGTGTGTGTGTGTGTATGTATCAAATCATTTTGAAACTATAAATTTTAGACAAATATCATATGTTAATATTAGTACTATATGCAGGAGCAATTTTAAGAGATGTTTTTATTTATTAAAACCCATTTATAGTGTTCCAAATGTAAAACAAAATAAGAATCTTTTTTTTGAGTGTTGAAATGCCCATTAACGTTTAATTTTTATTCATGAACTTTTAGAGGGCAAACATAATAGTGCCCTTTTCACTTTTTGTTGTTTTCAGGATAGTAATTTTATTAAGCATAACTTATAATGTACTTTCAACTTATGTTATCTCTGTAGTTTTCCAACCAGCTTTGTTTGGTAGAGAAATTGTTAGTCTGGTGATTAGAGTCATATTGCTTGAATTCAAATCCCAACTCTGACTCCTGTTTGCTTGCATGCTATATAACTTTGGATAAGTTATTTTGTATGTTGTCCCTTGATTTCCTCATATGTAAAATGAAGATAGTAATAGTTCCTACCTCATAAGGGTTTTTGTGAAAATTAAATAGGTTAGTCTTCCTAGCATTTAGGAGAGTATGTGGCATGAAGAAATGCTCAGAAAATGTTAATTTTCAATTAAAGATTTGTTTATATTAATTATATATATTAATTGAAATTAATATTCATATTAATTAACTTTGAGATAAGTATCCATGTTTCTATTAGTATGATCCTTACTTTATAGCTGAGGAAACAGATTGGAAAAGGTGAAGTGAATTTTCCAACTTAGTTAAGAGGCAGAAATAAAACTTGAGCCTAAATCTTCTCATTCAAGTTCAGGGCCATCCTGTAATGAGTATTCTGCCCTCTACAACATAGGGCTTAGTAAATATATTTGGATGATAATAGTTGAAAGGACCAATTTATCGAGGAATCTTCTTGGGAATTAAGGAGGCAACTGAAACTGAAAAAATTAAGATAAAAGTTTTTGATCCTAATTAGTTGATATTTATACTTCCCTATCAATGCATTTTTTTTTTCTTTTTAATGTGAGTATATTAACTGTAGGTAACTGATTGTTCTGGTTCTGGAAGGAAGAATAAGTCTAGCTTCTCAGGCCAAATTTTAATGAGATTAGATAAAATCCCCCTAAGGTTAATTAGTATGGTTTTGGGATGGGTTATCTTACTATCTGGGATCACTGTCTAATCAATCCTATAATCAGGCAGCCAAAGAATGTTACAACTGGAAGGTACTTTAGAGGTTAGAAAACTCAATGTTCTCATTTTGCACATGAGGTAAATAACTTACCCATTGTTGTGTAGTGAGTCAGTTCAGGTCTGCTGATTCCCAGGTTAGTGCTCCCATCTATTATGGTACTCATAAAAACAAACAAACCCCCAAAATTGGTGCTAGTAGAACTAGTAAAAGAAATAAATTAAAATTTTGCCACATATATGGTTAAAGTTTAACTCTGAGTGTTTTCTTTTTGGAGAAAGACACTTGAGCATGTTTTAAAGCAGCATACTGCTGTGCTCTTCAAATACAATACTGACATTTCAATCAATTGCCTTGTTAATGTCTATAGACATCTTTATTCTTTCTTAGCTATTGGTGATCTGGTTTGGGAATTCACCAGACTCTTTGATTTATTTTATATCCCATCCTATTGTTAACATTTTGGACAATTCACTGCTCATTTGAATATTAAAGAAGAGACAAAGAATAGAAGTCGTACTTAAATTTATACGTTTTTGATATAACGGTTCTCTTGGTGTAGAAAATGGAAATTAATTTCATGGTTGTTTGTGAATTTACCATTATTATTCTTACGTAGTAACTACTTCTAATTTTTGTTTAAAATGTTTTGTTTAAAACATTAAATAAGATCAAATATATTAGAGGTAGTTCATATACCATAAAACTTAATACAAATACATAAGGTATTATTATCCCTGTTTTTTGAACTATGAAACTGAAATTTGGCTGTGATTCATACTTGTTTTATTGAGGCTTGCCACCAGTTCCATATAGCATTCCAGTCTGTCAAAGACCCAAACAGATCTGCTGGGTTATAAAGACTGGAAAAGCTGCTTGTACCACAGCCTGGCCTAGCTGAAAGCCTCTTCTTATCCTGGGCTGCATTCACAGTTGGCAGCCTTAGAGATTGTGAGTACTGTACTTACAAGTACTGAATGGTAACAAATGTCAGTGTCGGAGCTCATAACATTTAAATGTATATACCATTATGCTGCATGAACTTCTATTAAAATCCAGTTCTCTTAATTTTTATTACCAGGTAACCTTGGACGGGTGGACCAGGTCTCTGAGTTTGAGTATGATTTGTTTATTAGGCCGGATACCTGTAATCCACGCTTCCGAGTCTGGTTCAACTTTACTGTTGAAAACGTGAAAGAATCACAGGTGAGGGAAATAGTGGAAATCTTCAGTGTGGTTTTGGTAAGGAGATTACACTTTTGTTTTATTTTAGAAATATTAAAAAATAATGACTGTATTAAGAATGTGTTCTTGTGTATCTATAACAATGGTGCAGATTTGTTTAGAGAGATATAGAGAAATAGGTATAATATGCTGTTTTTGTTATCTAAAGGTTATTAAACAATGCGAATAGGTTATCTGAGAACAGAAAGCATTCTTTAGTGATTGAAACATTAGTGTGACTTGCTAGGCTTCCTCGAAGAATACCATAAGGAACCACAGAAAGTAACTTGTACGGTATATTATAGAGTACTGTTCTCTCTATTATTGGAGAGAGTCATTATACATTTTTCACAGGCCTCAATTTCAGAAAAAAGTTTTCCTTTCTTATACAATATTATGTTTATATATTAAAAACAATGTGACTCTTGTAATTCATCCTATTTTCCCTTTGCTTTGGCTTCTGGAAAACCCAGAGCCGATTTTACAATCCTCTCTAATGGTTTTGAAAAACGTTTTTGCTTGTATTTCTGTGTATTGACTTTTCTTTTATTCCAGTCATGTTAATCTCTCTTTAACCATGATTTCTTCATCTATATTTTCTGACTGTGTATGTTTTTATAATCTTGTTCAAATCTTCTTTGAGAGAGTGTATTGATGAAAATAGAACTAAATACATATGCTTTGAACGTACCATAATAAAAATCTAATCCCAAGAAATCAGTTATCATTCTGTTGTATTAAGACAACTGATCATGGAAGACTCTGCACAAACTTTGAACAAATAATGATATGATTCTTTTAAGCAGTTGAAAGCATAGCGCTATAACAACCTCTGCCTTCTTCCTTGTCATCTTTTGTTTTGTATATTTTTGGGAGAAGGTGAGGAGTTTAATTTCTCCTTTCAAGTCAATCTATCCTGTTTTCTCTTTCACTTGGTTGCTTGCTTCTTTCCATTTCTGTCAACTGCAAGTTGAATCATGTGTCAGGCATGTGTCATTGTCTAGAATTTAGGGACTTTGGGTCTTCCTTGACACAGTGCTGTTCCTGGCACATTGGTTTCAGCAGAAGCGGGTGCAAGAACAGACACTTCACTTTACTACAGACTCTCTTAATTCTCTACAACACTGCTGACGCAGGACTTGGTTTATGTAATGTTTCCTGGAGTTATGGGCTAACTGGAAGGAATACAACATATGGGAGAGTTCTGAACATTATTAGCTAAATATGATTTGTCTCAGCATTTTAGGAGAAGTGGGGAAAAAATGTTAAATATTACAGAGAGCTGTTCAAGGGCAAACTTTAGTTCCTAGTTTTGCTTCTTGGTTTCACTTCTCTCACATGGATGATTTTTTTTTTCAAAAATTTTTTTTTGTAGTAAGAATAACAATATTTCTCCCCTCCACCCATCTTAGGAAAACCTATACCTGACCCTAGGATTGTCCAGCTTATTTCAGGACAATAGTTAATTCTTAAAGTGCATTTTCCAAAGTCTATGTTACTGAGTCTTGAGAATATCTCACAGCAGAAGGCTTTAGCCAGATGTACTAGATTGAGTCCCTAAGTTTTAGTTCCCTATGAAGATCTCTCTGCTATCATGAGGTGAACACATACCGCTCATTCTTCTGTTGGTGTTCTTGTCTCATGTCAGTTATTTAGGGTTGACACATACACACACTACTGAAAAACAAACAGTAATTCTGAGGCAATAGAGTCAATTCACATTTTCATAAAAGTAGTATAATCTGCCAGAATTTCTAAATTCACAAAGGGGTTTACATTTTTTCCTCTTTATGTATAGTATATGTACATCTTTTAGCTTGCCTCTTGTATCCAGGAATCCACTAACTCTTAAGTAGGGAGACCTGTTACTTTTCAAACAACAGCGTCATTTATCCTCATTATATATTCTTTGCTAAATAAAGATATAGTAGAAGCTCTGAGATTATAGCATTTCTTTAATTTTGGGCAACATTAGATTTCTAGCTCAGTTTTTCTTTTCTTTTTTCTTTTTCTTTCTTTCTTTTTTTATGTTACTCTATAAAGAGTATCTTTATATAGCTCCTCTGGTCAGGAGAAGGGATGGGAGGTGAGATGACTAGAGAGTTAGGGAAAATGTGTTTCTTAATTTATACTACCTGAGATAGTCTTTTAGATGAGTTTCATACATTTCAGAGTATCTTGTTCTTTGCTCCTCTAGTTTGCTTTACAGGTACGGTTTTTGTTGTTGTTGGTTGTTTAAAATGTCTCTGCCAGAGTGTTACAATTTTCATATTACATGTTGAATTCATGCAGATTCTTTTGCAAGCTTGTCTATCAATTCAGTAAGCAAGTAACACGACTATTTTCCAAGGAATTACTGTAATAAGAGAGTTGGTGCTATTTTATGGATCCCTATTTTTAAAATTGGAGGAACCAATATTTGTTCTGTCTCTCTGGATTCTATCTTCATATCCAGTGCTGTTCTACCTTCATTACAGCTAGAAATCATGAACATGTTTATCTAGTTTCCTGAAGCCTGATGCTTTATCAGCCTCTTTCTGTGGGCCATTGCTTCATCAACTGTAATCACATTATATATTTATGGAAATCTGTCTCAAGAAGGAATAAAGATTTGCTGGAAAGATACAATATATATCTCTAGCTCACAGGATATTTGTTTTTATGATTGTCCACATGAAAGAGAATGATTTTACTATTAAGTTTGACTTGTGGGATCTGCTTTCATAATGTCTCTTCTTCTAATCCTTTTCCATCTCTCCAATTTCCGTCAAAATGAGACCTGCATGAATGTAATCTCGTCAAGAGCCTTATTTAAGGTTTGGTACTAGTGGGCAAAAGAAATGTTAGTCATCAAAGGCTGACTTCATTAAATGAATGTTAAGAATCACAGCATCAAATATACTGTATAAACAGGTCTAGCTTTTCAGTTATTTTTCTTGATGATTTTAGGAAGTGATAAAAACTTGAAACATACAGTGCTATATTCTAGGACTGATATATTAATCTCCAAAAGTAGTGGCTAAATAGTGCATTTGCAGGAGTCTATGAAAACTGAATAACCTGGTACGTTTATTGAAAAGTAATTTTTTTCTCTGAAAAACCTGTATTAAATATTGTTATTTGGAAATTTATTATTGATGCAGCAGAACATTAATGTGATGTGAAAGCAAATCATCCTATTTAAATACTTATGATAAAACTTCAGCCAATAAGAGAAAATAAAATATGTCTCGAGTATTTAAACTGTTTTCTTTCCTTTATATTCTTTATATCTTTTTAAATTTATTTTCCTCCTTACGATTATAAGGGTAGCCAATGCTCAATGTAGTAAATTTGGAATATATCAATTGTTAGAAGCAGAGGAAAAGCATACCCACCCACTCAAACATCTATAATCTATCAAAAGCAAATACTATTAACTTTTTGGCATATTTACTTTTAGGCTTACTCATTTTCTATTTTATTTTTAGAGCATAATTAAGTTAGACCATATATGCTTTTTTATGTCTTGTTTTTAAATAAACAGAACAATATCATGAAGCAATTTTATATTATTTTAAACTTCATAAATATGGCTGCACAATAGCTATTTACTGTTGAACCATTTCTGTACTCTTGGGCATAAAGATTTTTTTCATTAACTGTTGTATAAATAACACTGCAGTGAACATCTTTATGCATGAAGTGTTACCCACATTTCATTTTGTTTCCTTAGGATAAATTCCTATGGGAGGAATTGATGGCCAAAGGATATGAATATTTTAAAGATTCTTGTTGCATATTTCTGAATTGCTGCCAGAAAATTTATACTGTTTTGCTGTCCCATCAACAGTGAATGAGATGCTTTTCCTTGAATTTCTTGCTTTGTTTTATGAACTAAGATGTTCATACATTTAGAATAAATTGTTTCTTTTTCTTCAGTTACTTTGAAACTTTACAGAAATAAATGGGATATGATGTAATGTTTTGGGTCTCTAGTCATAAAGGAATTAATTTCATTTCAGCAATAATGTGAGACATCAAAACATCTATTTATTATTATTTTCACCTTTTTCTCAATTCATCAATCCTCTTTTATATGGGTGTGCCAACAGATCGTCCTCTGAGGTATGTAATGGGAGATTTAAAAAAGAAAAACTTTTTTTTTTAATAAACAATGAAGTATTTCTTACACTGTTGTAAGCAGTAATGGAGCTTAAGTATACATGCATGAGTGCCAATGTGAATACATTTTCATTCTTTTAAGTTGGTTTCTGTTGTTTTCACTTGAAATTTTAGACAGATAAATTTGAGTTTCTGGAAATTGAAAGTCTAAGAACTATAGCTGGAATTATTTGTTTGTATACAGTATATATAATCATGATGTACATGTATATCAATGCACTTGTATGTTTACGTTAGTGTATTTGTTCATTATATCAATTATACCAAATGCTATTATCATACTTGTAATAGCATTCAAATATAAATTTAATTGGCATTATACTTTGTAGTATTTATTAAACAGGCATTTCACTATTTTAATAGACATGAATGATTTTTATATTGCTAAATCCAATGGACATATTATACCCATTTTCTTAATTTATCTTACATTTGGTAGATACTGTTGACAGGTCACTGTTGGTAATTCTGTTACCTTGGCTTTCCTTATATTCCTCTTTTGATTCTCCTTGTTTGTATTTCTTCTGATTCTCCTTCATGGGCTTTTCTTCTTACACAAACTCCTTAAATATTGATACAACCATGATTCCATCTCATATCATTGCATATTATATCTATTTTTCACATTCTTAATTCTAGCTATACTTGAAAATCTCTCATAAGATAAAAACTCCTAGATTTAAATACCTTTTGGATATTACCACTAAATGTCCCATGGATATCTCAAACTCATCATTTGCAAAAGTTAGCTCTTTATCTTATCCTCCAAATCTGCCTCTTCTATCTACTCCATATTTCCAGTGAATGTTACTACTATCCATGCAGTTGTTCAAACTGGAAACATGGGAGTTATC